TTCCCGTCTCGTATGCATGCCTATCCCGGGAATGGTGTAGTCAGCCCGTATCTGAATTATTTATAGACTCGTGCCAGCTGGTTTTTTTTGTTGGTTTTTTTTTTAATTTATTTTTTTTTTTTTAATTCCGCTGGTGTGCACTGTTGGGAAATGCGTTTTGTCTCCCTTCTTTCTCAATATATTAATGTCTTTGTTGGGGAGCGGTTTTTATCCCCTTCAGATCCCTCTAATACAAAATTGATGCTTATTTTTCCCTTCAGGAAGGGGACGCTTTGAGGATAATCATGCTTCACAGAAGAACGGCACCGACCTCCAGTTGCATTAAACACAACCTCTTTCAATAGGGCTCCAGGAAAAAAAAAAGAATTATAAGAATAATCATTAAAAAGGCGAAAGGAATGCTTACTCTGGAACCTGCATTTGATGATCCTCACCAGTCGTGCTGAATATCCTCTGTAGTGATTCTCTCCAGCTTTTGAATTTGCACCGCTTCAAGACGCAAGATTGCCACAAAGAAACCTCTATTTTTTTTACAGCCAAGTAGGATTGTTTTTTAGCTCATTCCCCCACATTTGCCCCCCGACCCTTATTCTTCTTATGTGGATATGCAAGCAAGAAGAGGAGACTGGACATTCCCAACATGCTCTCTCCCTTGATCTGTCCGTCTAGAGGTTCTGCTTCTACAAACCAAGGTAGGGAAATACCTGTTTCTGTGGTTTTGCTGGCAGCTCATTTTGGTTTGCCCAGGGAAGATCACTCACAGTAGAACAAAAGGTTTAGAGATGCTGCTTTTAGAAGCAGACACGGGGGGAAAATAAAATAACATTCACCAGACATGTTGATTCTCTCTTGGCTCATCAAATAGGACGTGAAGAGAAGGCGAGAGGGATGCTTTTGAGTTACATACCGCGTCGTGAATCGGGGAAAAGTCCCTTGTGATTTTTTTTGGGGGGGGGGGGGGGGTGGGCAGGTGGGGTCGAGAGAGACACGGGAGGAGGAACGCGGCTTTGGAAAGGGGTGAAAAGGAAAATAATTCCCATCCATCCACCCGCAAATTGCCTCCTTCTTTTCGCTGGTCCAGCGGCTTCTTGCCATGGTTTGATGTGAAAACAGAGCTCATTAGGAACAACAGGACGTAGAAACCTGCTTGTTGCCGAGGAGGGTGGTGCATTACTTAGAACCCACGCCGGCCTCTCGATCGTGAGCGGCCTAACGCGGGG